ATTAACCATGATTAAGAGTTAGCCTCATATTCTTTTATCATGCTTATTTCAGTAGGTATTTTGTAGCAACATGATTAATTTGTGTATCCTCTTCTGGCTTTAATATAATTTATCCTTAAAGAATTCTCCTGGGACGCTGTTCAAATAAAATGAATTTCTTCATTTGCTTTCTTGAAGCCATATCTATGTCCCATCAATAATTTCTATTTTTTTTTTTTGTTTTTTGAAAAACTTTGTGTAAATTTACTTCCTTATCTTTGCATTGCCATTTTTTTAAATTCCTGATATTTTTTTGTTTTTTGAAGACTTCATGTAAATATTCTACCTCATCTTTGCCTTGTCATTTTTTTAAAAAGTTCTTGATCCTACATTTGTCCTCGTGTATTTTTTACAGCCATGGCTGCCTGTCATTGCTTATTCATTGCGTATCCCAATTCTCTTGATAGTAGAGTTGATGTGATTTGCTCATTCATTTTTTCACCTCTTTGTTTCATATATAGTGCCATATCGATATCGTTCATCACCTTGAAAGGATTTACAAATTTTCAAACTTCTTCGGCTGTTCAGAATGGGCGGCAAACATTTCATGATGGATAATGCATAAGCATTTATTCTGGTCATCAAGTCTTTGTAGCCGAGTATATCTTCCCATCCCTTCGTATCCCCTTTTCCTGCCAACTTTTCCTTCATTCAATGCTGCCTCATTGATTCTGTTCCCAAGTTACGGATATATATTTCGGGTATGATGATGTGTAGTCCAATTCCTTTTGTTGATTATTGTTTTCTTTTATGCATCAGCAGTAGTGCATATCGTTCTGTTTCAAACGTCATTCCAAAAGGCCAGTTGAATATCCGCATTATTTCTATTGAGGCCAATATATATATATATATTTTTTTTTGCTTGTTTATCTTTTGGCACGTTGGAGTGAGGTATCGCAGCGTTGATTAAGGAATCGAGCAGCCGAATTTTTTAAGTTCGTTACATTTAATTGTGTGCAAGTACCGCTGGGCAAGGTATGAATCGGTCTCATCTATCCAGGTATGCGTAAATAGCACAACAGACTGGGCATTGGGTGGCAACTGGTCATGAAGAAGGACAACTCTGAATTCAAAACATCCAACTATGCTTCTCAATAACCCTTGTATATATATATATATATATATATATATATATATATATATATATATATATATATATATATATGTGTGTGTGTGTGTGTGTGTGTGTGTGTGTGTGTGTGTGTGTGTGTGTGTTTGTTTGTGTGTTTTTCCAGTTGACTTTTCGAGTGTATATTCCTGTTTTGATGTCACCTGAGTGAATTTTCTATTTAGTTGTACCTGGTATTTTTCAAAAATGATCACGTGACATCAACTCTTTATTACGACAGGTCGATCTTTTTTTTTTCTTTAAGCAATTCACCCCAAGCAAAGCAGGAATATCACGAGGAAACAAGGAGTAAAAGAGCATTGAGAACAAGAGTAAAGCGGCGTGTATGAGGAAATGATACAGAGGACGGGGAACAAGAGCAAGTTATCAGAAGATATCGATTGTCATTACACATGAATATTGGAAGATTATAGTTATCAGGGAAGCAAGCAAGAGGAAAAGATTTTCACAGACGGGAAGTGCGAGAGAAGAAGCTGTTTGAATAAATTTAACCTTTTAGACAATGAAAGGGTGGGACTCAAATGCCAGTATAGTAGCTCGCTTAAATTCATGCAGTCTGGGAACAGCGAAAGTAGTTCGTCGGAACAGATACCGTGAAAATACTTGTAGAAGACGCAAAGGGAAGCCACGGTACGTCTGTGAGAAAACGACAGTAGATTAGGTGCCAGATCAAGACCTATCGCATTGCATATTCGTCTCTGTATTTGTCAAGGACCTCAGGACGTACAGCGGAGGCTCCAAATCATATATGACAGTGATATTTCATGCAAGGACGTATGGTTGATTTATAGATTTGAATGATGGACACAGACAAGAAAAAAATTCTAATACTACACTGAAACAACTTTCCTTGCGGTAGATGAAGCTATTGATTCAATGTATTTGTTTCACCTCCTGTCAGCGGACAGCATGAAATCAATCAGGCATCAAAGCTTACAGCACCAGATAGTAGCAAGTAGTTACCAATCCACGCACTAACCAAGTTCAATATTGCTTAACATGAACCCGCGTTTGAACGTGTTTGGAAGCGAGCCTCTGTCCAGTAGAATATAAATGCTGAATTCAAAACCTGCGATTGTTTTGTAGCAGGTTAAAAACTCTGGGTGACACTATTTAATGGCTGAGAAATGTTTGCCTTGCACCAAGGAAATATGCGCTCAACAGTCTGATTGGTTATGTTGAGCAAGCATATAACGCCATTCGAAGCCAGGAAAAACAACTACGGTTTTCAATGGGAGTTTTCAACACACACATTATAAGATATCATCAGAACGAATATATTTTGTGTTTTGGTGGTTGTTAATTTAGCTATGCCGTTGTATTTACTGAATAATTCATTTGAAAAAAATTCTGGAGCCTTCAGCCGGAAAGAATATACCCTTTGCAGAATCCGTATCTAAATCTAAACAGTTTGCGGATAAAAATATAGACCGCGATTCTTCGTTTATGAAATACGGCCTATTTTCAGAACATGCGCAAACGCCGGTGTAAAGGGCAAAAGCAAAAAAAAAAAAAAAATGGCCGGCAGATTAAGGCACAAAATATATGTAACATTCACGTTTTCATGTCTTATCTTACTTCAACGATTGTTTTTGTTCCCCACTGCTGGTTCCAGTGATCACCGATGGCGCGGCCGTGAGCCTACGACTGACTCCCTTTTGACTGAATTCGTCTACCAGGTTGCTTCTAAACATTCAACTTTTCCTTCTTTGTCTTTTCATCTTAATTCCCTTTTCTCATCGATTACAATATCTGGATAATTTGCCTCTAGCCAATCAAAGCACTAGACACGGTTTCCTCTCTCTATCTCTCTCTCTCACTCTCTCTCTCTCTCTCTCTATATATATATATATATATATATCTGTGTGTGTGTGTGCGTTTGTAGAAGAAGAGGATATGTATAAAGGAGAAAAGACAATAGGCAAACTATGTAATATTAGCCGACTCGTTTCCTCCACTGTGGGCATTTCAATGCAAAAAACGAATAAAAAAATCACGAAAATTTTCACTTATTGTTGATTATCTTCCGTGATCAGAGTTCATATTGTTAGACGGAATTTTCTTTCTTACTTTTTGAGAATAATTTGTTTTTCTTTTATGAATCTCAGTTGATCGACGTAATTTTGATTTGAAAAAGTCAGCAGAGGACGAAGCACGTCGGGTAAAACCATATACATTTTCCTATTGTCTTTTCCTTCATATATATATATATATATATATATATATATATATATATATATATATATTAGTGGTAAATATACACATTACGATTCCAATGGAATAAATTATGACCATGGAATATTAGTGTTTAAGCCATATATATATATATATATATATATATATATATATATATATATATATATATATATATATATATATATAAATGTTGTTCCAATAACTTGGAGTGATCTTAAACTTAATTCACATTCAAAACCGGTACAACTTATTGGAACAGCACCTGGAGTGTGCATGAATTGTCCAAATCATCTCCATATTAATACATCCTTAGTAATGCCTAATTGATGAATCGAGGGCGCACGGACCCAATTATCATTTGGACAGGTCTTATAAACTCCTCTACGAATGCAAGACAAATCAAATAAGTGTGTGTGTGTGTGAGTGCGTGTGTATACTTGTCCCACTGATCAGCCAAACAGATCATACCCTCATATCCGTTATCATCACATTACATTCTGTGATAGATCCTAATATAATATCTTATGTCTCTTGTCCAAGTCTACTTGATGTTTTGCCAGACTGAGAAAACCTTGGTTAATAGCCATATCAGTACCCAGTTTCTAATTAAATTTTTAATGAAATCATTCTTTATTTGTGAGGATTTGGTTGCTGGCAGACCATTTTTCGATAGTTAATTATTGTGACAGTGGTCGCTGTTCGAGCCCAAGCACCAAGCCCTAAAACTGATGTCCTGTCCATGTGCAGACATATGAGGATTTGCTTTGCAAGCGCTGTAGCTTGGCCTCGTCATATTTTTGTTGCACCCGGGTGCAGCTGCATTGCTATGAGAGTATCCGTTCTGCGTATACGTGAATGATGCGCGTAATAGTTTCTCTCAACCTTGGCTGCTGTTTCTGCTCGTACTTGAATGAAGAGATTATTACTGAACAACAAATACATGTGAAGGTATATTTCTTCGGACCTGATGAATACATTTGACTTATTTCCCTCTTCTCATCGGAATGTATATAAAAAGTATGCAGCATAACCTTTCCCTTATAGTAATACTTGAATCTGCTCTGAGAACAATTAATGCCGTTAGCCGACAGAAAAAGCATCTAAAAAATAAATGGGAAGAACAGGTTTGAAGTCTGGGGTGACATGGTTTTATGGTGAGTACAGTCACATAGTAACTGATAATACTGTTTCTCTATCAATTGATATTGGCGACATCCGCATTCGAGTCCTATTCTTTACTCAGGTGTATCTTCTGACAGGGTTTACTTGACTATTTTCTGTGTGTTGTCGTAACCGGATTATTTATAGTTTGCGAACTGAGGAAAAAAATTGAAGAGAAAAATTCACTTTTGCGTAAACCATATTTCGATATGCGCATGCTTACTTAGCTGGCACATTTGTTGGTAAAGATTCAAATAATATTAGCTCAAGCCTCAGGGAGCCATCAAGCAGCTTCTGGGGTGGGGTGAGGTGGGTAATTATTACCCGACAGTTGAGGCATCCCTAAAACGGGAAATGTCGAGGGGCGGTATCAATGTGAGTGCACTGAAAAATACATATATTTGAATATACGCTTTTAGGATTTTTGTGATGTTTAAAAATCTATGCCCTTTGTTCTGTTTTAACTACTGTATACATGCTGATTTTACGTAGGATTACCAAAAGTGTCATCCGCCATAAACTTTTATGGCCTCTCTACTGGACTAAGACTATCTATCTATCTATCTATCTATCTATCTATCTACCATATGTATAAATGTCAGTGCTTCCTTCTCCTTGCAATTGCTTTCTTACATATAAACATGCGGAAACGCTTCAATTTAGTGCAATGGTTAGCCAACTTGTCTCGCTAGATGATTTACGACTTAGGAGTAAATTCGATCCTCAGTAGATACTCCATGCTTATGCCATATCAAATTTACGCTTAGTAAATTATTATATAATCATGCAATCACACATATATGTATTAGGACTCAGTACGTGTACAAAACTATTTTTATTCAGTCCCAAACTGAAAACTAATGACATTGCAAAATGTTTTCTATTTTGGTGAAATATAATTTTTTGTTGGTTATTACATCACTTTGGTCGTTTTTTTTTTTTTAATTATTTTTTTAAGAAATGAATGTATTTGGAAAATTTCCATTATTAAGATCAACACAGTAAGTTTTCATTTACTATAAACTTTATGTATATTTATATGATGTTTGTGGTTTGGAAAGAAATAAACATTTTGTAATTTTCGCTGTAAAAATAACTTTGATGTACATAAGATACATTAGCGTACTAAGATGCCATTAAATAAAAAGGAAAATGAAAGGCTAAGCTTTTTAATTGTTTTCATTCATGTATATTCTCATTCATATTTCTCTTGTTTTTTTTCCGTTATTTGAAGTCAATGATTTTTTTATATCTCTCTTTGTAACAGTTAAAAGCAATATTTTTCGTTTCCTTTTGATTTGTCGGCTTTACTTAACCCTTTTCATCTTTTCATTTTTATTCCTTGGAAACCATGCCAGTCTTGTTCTTATTAGTTCTTGGAGCATCGCATTTGTCTTCTCAGTATTTTTATCCCTTTGCATTTATTTTTTTTTTCAATTCATACGCACACGTATGCATTTTGTTTCTATGGAATAATACCGGTTCCAATGTGGGGGTCCTCTTTCTATTTACACAAGAAATTATCAATTCTTTTTCTGGCAGCTAAGAATGTTATTCTGTGCAACGACATATAGGATTCTGGATTGAAGACCAAAAAGAAACCTACATACATTGCAATAACCACCTACTGACCTGCGAAAATCGGAGTGCGTTAAGCAGAAAAATATATAAGTAATTTCAACAGGCTAATATCGAAAAATGTTTGCTGCAGAAGGGAGAAGTAAAGAGTAAGAAACCATTTCACAGACTCAAAACAGCCAACGAAAAATAAAACTTGGATTCTTATTTGCGTTCCCACGTTTTAATAAAACTAAAAGTAATAATTTATAATAATTTATATAATAATAAGTAAAAGTAATAATTGTAATAATAATTCATATAATAATAACTAAAAGTAATAATTTATAATAATTCATATAATAATAACAAAAAGTAATAATTTACAATAATTTATATAATAATGACTTAAAGTAATAATTTATAATTATTTATATAATAATAACTAAAAGTAATAATTTATAATAATTCACACAATAATAACTAAAAGTAATAATTTATAATAATTCATATAATAATAACTAAAAGTAATAATTTATAATAATTTATATAATAATAACTAAAAGTAATAATTTATAATAAGTTTTATAATAATAACTAAAAGTAATAATTGTAATAACAATTTATATAATAACAACTAAAAGTAATAATGTATAATAATTCATATCTTAATAACTAAAAGTAATAAATTATAATATTTTATATAATAATAACTAAAAGTAATAATTCATAATAATGTATATAATAATAACTAAAAATAATAATTCATAATAATTTATATAACTAAAAGCAATAATTTATAATAATTTATATAATAATAACTAAAAGTAATAATAATTTATAATACTTTATATAATAATAAATAAAAGTAATATTTTATAATAATTTATATAATAATAACTAAAAGTAATAATTTTTCTTTAGGCCTTTTCAAAGGAAATTAGTTTTCATAAGATGAAACTTGTTATTTTTATAGACAGATTATGCAAACATTCCAAACGTTTGTAACACGACAAATTAATGCTTTTTTTTACGTTTTATACTACTTCTGTGATTTATTTGAAATCAAAATACATTTTCGCGCTTTAAGAATAATTACTTTCCTTTTTGCTAGTGAATATTGCCTCTCCAATCATTAAAGATTAGAGCCATGGGATCTGTTCTGTTAATTCACTCCAAATAATGTAAAATTACTCATCCCAAATATTAATTCAGCCCTAGAAATTATAAATTTCAAATCAAAGTTTGTTTTTTAATTAAGTTTTTCCCACGGTTTTGAAATTATAAATTTTAAATCAAAATTTATTTAGCTTGCCTCGCAAAGCTCCAACCCCCAGTATTAAAAATCATAAAAATCCAGAGTGTTATTCACATTTAGTAAGTGTGAATTATATGGTACTTAAATTTTTTTTTTTTTTTTTACAATTTACAAAGAATATTAATAAATCTCTTTTAACTCGTTTATCGGGGTGAGCGCAAATGTACATCGCACACTTACAAATAGCACACCCGAGTCGCCCACATTTAGGGCGACTGCAAATTTCAACAGAAACAGAGCGCATTGGAAGGCACCCGCTCTTGGAGAATTTGTTGTGAATTTTAGTAAATATAAATTATTCTTATTTTGGGGTGACTTTACTAAAGATATGAGAGGTAAAAATAACTTTTTTGAATCCTCTTCTGAATATAATAGCTACCTTTTTGTGAAAGTTATTAATCTCTTATATATGGATTCACACAGTTTTTTTTTTTTTTTTTAAATCTATTGGTTTTTGCGAAGCCACTGGGCAAAAGTACGATTAAGTGCCACAAAATAGACCCGTTTTTAAGAACATTGCTTTGTTTTATCATGATTATGTCACTGTTATGATTGTCAACATGACTGTATGAAATATTAGTTTAAACAAATAAATACACGAATTTTCTAATAGTCGAAATAGTTCAATAACACCGATGTGTAGTTGAGACAAATATCACAGGAGATTAGCTCGGTGTGACGATTAAACCTACACAAAAATGATGTGTTGGATAACAAAAAATATTTGCTAATAATGAATACAGGCTTGTTTTTTTTAAAGTTTGTTCAAAAGATAGTACGATACCAAACATTAGTGATGAGTAAAGTCATTATAATTAGTCATATTTAGATCACTTTATTCATAAAGTTACCGCCCGCTGCCAGAAACGGTCATTGTTTTATAAGCCTATTAAATGTGAATCCAAAACAAGTCAATTTATAATGTTGACTATTCAAATAATTGTGACGTCACCATGGTCCTGCTCCTCTGCTATCCTGTAACGATCTAAACCTTGGCTGGTTCGGATGGAAATCTGGTTAAATTCGATATCAGTTTTGTCGTTCCCAGCTCGCTTCCAGCGTCTGGTTACCGAAATAACTGCTTTGATTTCTAGTCTAACCTACCCACGTTGTGATTTGATCTTAGATAGACGAAAACAATCAGGTGTCGGGCCGTAGTGCAAGCTGAATCCGGGGCTAAGGTGATACCGCACAAGTACATGTAAAAGAAAATAATGTAACAACTCAAAAGATTCAAATGTGTTGAAAAAAATAACAAGTATCTTTATATCTGTTTGCTGAATACAGGACTGCGTCTTTTTTCAAAACCGCTTCTATGGATTCGTGACACTTTGCGTTTTTTAGGCGAGTCTTAATATCTTAAGTTGTTTTTCAGTAAACTGGTTTTTGGTATCTTCAGGCGATATTCGTAAAACGTGTTTTGGTGGTGTTAGTCTAAGTCGTTGTTCGAAAAAGTTGTTTTTGGTTAGAACTCTTAAGTCGGAATGCCTGGAAATCTTTCAGTCAGCCTCTTGCGAGGCTGGCCTCCGAGCTCACAGCTCAACTGCAACTCAACTCTGTACTCCAACTGTCACCAACTCTCGTTAACTGTCACTCCAACTCTGGGGACGTTCGTTTATATGGACGCCGACCAAAACCGGGTGGGGGTCTGTCGTGATTTGGGTTCCTCGATAATTCCAAATCCGCAATAAGGATTTTCTTTGTTTTCGGACAGGAAAATGTATCACTTCCCATTTTTGGAAGTCAATTACTTTTTGTTTTAGAGGGGTTCTTAAGGGAATTGTCCTCCTAAATTATTTCTTCCTCATATTGGTATCTCACACCAATCCCCTTAGAGGGCGTCAACAGGTTTCCCTTTTTTCTCATATGTTTACCTTCGCCCATCGCTCACGCCACCATTCAGCCAATGAACGCTCGGCAGTGTGGGTGTGTCTAAACTGGCCTCAGTTTACAAGTATCGCTCAAAGAAAAAAGAAAATTATTTTCCTTCTTCTTTTCTTTCTTTTCCATCGGCCAGAACCCCCACGAATCGTACTATGGACATTAAATTTTTATCTTAACTTGATGTCATCTGGGATTCATTAATGGGATTTTAGCCGACTTATTATCTGGGTGGTCAACTAAATCTCTTTGTCTCTCTCAACATCATCGCATTCTGTCGCCAACAGCCTGTCCAGGTAACGAACTTTTATCATGGCAAGTTCTGGACATACAACAGATCGTTCTCCTTCAAAAACCAAATGATATCTCTGAAAGATAGTTAATGGCTTATTCTTTTTCTTTTTCTCTTTTTCCTTCCTTTTTCTTTGGGGTGGTCTCACCTAATTCTTTCTCGGTCGCATGCTTAATCCAATTTTCGATTATCTTCTATCATTCCGCTTTGTATGCCTCTTGACCAAATTGAAATTTTCATTATTGCCATGGGCAGATTGTTATCTTTTACCCGTGATCTGTTTTCCCTTGTCGCGTCATGGCATAAATTAATTCTGGCAGATCCGAAATCTTAAGAATTTTCTATCTTCTGCGAAAAAAATACCTTTCTTCGCAAATGAAAATAATATCTTTACCCATTTTTCTTTTGTTAAAAAAATAACATGGCTCAGTATGTCTTTCGTTATAACTTTTTCTCGTCTTAAGTATTTCTCGCTTTTAATTTCCATGCTTAATTAGTTAGCCAATTTCCATAGCTAAATAGTGTCACAATCTTCCCCTAA